TCACTTTCCCTTTCACTATCTCAGTCTTTCTTTCTCCAGTGAGTACGGAAGCCCTAAGGCAAAAACCTCTTAAAAATTATATGTCCCCATTCATTTTTTAATCCATTCATTCATCCATTTTAATACTTATGAAACAGTTGCTACAGTGGCACTTTCTTAGGTAACTGGCAAATACAAAGGTGACTGAAGGTTTATTTGATCAAAATCAGATACTGCTTTATGAGCTATGAGGTTCTGTACATTCTTAGAGCCCTATAGAGTCAGCACAAAAGCAACTGATTGTTGTGTAGTATTGATATTCTGCCAGAGCCTATACTTTTATATACCTCTTTATTTAATACTCATGAAAAATTAGATTGCATTTCTTTAAATGCAATATGCAATTTTAAAATACATTTTATAGTTTATCTTTAAAGTTTACTTACTTTTTTGGAAAGTAGCCTTCATGAATTTTCCGTCACAGAAAGTTTGAGAAAACAATGGATGTTGTATTTCTTTCAACCTGTAATTATTATAAAATACGTAAAGATTTAACTAAAAATAAAGTGCCTCTTTTACGTAACAACAATTTAATAAAAATATGCTCTTTCTTTTTCCAGTGTCACCTAACATACTGTCTATAAACACTCTTATTGTCAGAAGACAATTCTGAAATGTGCTTGTGCCTTAGCACTGCAGTAATAGTAGTGGGTTAAAAATGCCCACAACAATAAGTATCACTGTTGTCATTTTAATGAATAACATGGTCAAAAAAAATACAGCCAACAGTAAATAAGAGAACCTATTATAATGCATGGATTTACATTCTTCCAGCCTGCAATTGACATTTATACATAGCATAATAAACATTTTGACTTCACAAAGCTATTTTATTCATGTATAATAGCTATCATTTATTATCATATTTATGTTTTTAAACAATCAATTATTAGTGTCTTGGGGATATTTCCTGTGTGTGTTTTATTGGCAAATTTTCATGTCTATCTTACTATAAAATAGAATTATTTTATCAAAGGGCTTTGTGTTGTCTACATATCTACCTGGCATAAAATAAATTGATTGCTTAAGTTAAAAATTCATTTGTTATTTGGAACAACAGAATCATAAGTTTCATGGAGGTGATGTAAGTATACTAATATTATTGACAGTTGTCAAAAACAGCCACATTCTTTAAGTTTCTTTGCCTGCCTAGGTGTGCCTTTGCCTTCCCCTCACAACTCTGGAAAAGGACACAAACAAAACTTATTTGCAATTTGCAAAAAAATGGAAGGGGGGAATCAAAAGGAGGGGGCTCCAAAAGACTGTAAAATTGTACAGCGTGAGTCCTCTGATGCATGCTGTTTTCAATCTGCTGTGTGCCAGTTGGAGGCTTGGGGAGTGTGTGCGCGCGCGAGAAAGGATAATGCTGAGAAATGATAGAGTGGCTGTGACCTCCAAGCTCAGCCTGGAAATCCAAGACATTGATTTCACT